AAGGTAAAGCGCAGGTTAATTTGTTTTATGTATTTTTACTTTATATTTTGTATTAATAATTTTTATTTAAAATATTTTTGAGTTGTGGAACGGATCATATGAGTTTCCATTATTTCTAATGGGAAAATTCGCTTTGATATACGAGTGCTTTGGATTACAAGCATGTTTCCGGAACAAATTATGCTCGTAAACCAAGGTACCACTGTACATCCAAAATGGATGGATGGGTGGATGGACGACATACAGGATATCTCCCTCCTTCTGACATAAACAACAACAATATCTCTCTACTTCCAGCACATCGGGGCCAACCTGCACAACCCAACTAAACCACACGTGACAATCCCCCCTCCCCCACACTCTCACCCACCCACACACATGCCCCCAACACCCCCAGTACACATATAACCACGCACACAAGCCCTCCACACACCAAAGAGACCTCATGCACCCCCCCCACACACACAACACCCACAGAATAATTCAAACACCCCCACACACCCCCTCACCATCTGCCCCACCTTCGCCCTTTCAGTCTCTACGCTTCACAAAGAATCCTGACTGAAGGGGTACGGGCTCCTTACCCAGTGGCGACATTTCAGCAAGATGTCTCGGAATATCTTTGCCACCCTTTTCAGGTCCTCAGTACTCAGGGGGCGCTCTCCTCCCCGGCTTTCTACCAAAACCACCTCAACCAGGCCGCCCAAGAAAATCCCAATTTCCTTCCAAGAGAAAGCGAAACACATTTCAACTACAAGCTACTCAAAGTTAGAGCGTTAAACGAAACAAACTTTAATACTATATTTCAAGAGACAACTAAGAAAATTTTTTATTTTTTTTTTAAATACTGTCAGACCCTAACATTATTGTTGACTCTGGAAAAGAGGCATAATTTAGTCAAACTATGTTGAAATACACACACAGCCGGATTTGTCACAGTCATCTTTCCTTGAGCAGAAATACATTTATTAATGAGAAGCTTTGATTTCCAGATGGTGCTCTATCTGTGCTCACCTTGAAGGAGACCCAGCAGCAGGTGAGCACCAGGCTGTGCTCCTCCGACAGCAGAACGCACTCCTCCCCCTGCCCCTCATCCTCCTGCCCGCTGCCCTGGGCGATCACAGTCCGGATGGCGTTTCCCATGGCGCAGAAGGAAGGTGGAGCCTCTGAGATTAACAGGAAGAGGGCAATGACCTTTCTAACAGGAACAGCACTATTATAAATGTGCAGCACGAGCACTAATATGTTAGCAAGTTGCTCACATTCCATTAAAAAAGGCAACGTTCCTGAACCTAATAATAAATTAATTTAACTTGCTATAGGTAGCAGACTTAAAACTACACATCTACTGTCCCCAATCTACTTTGAAAGAAACTGTAAAATCCCCAGACTTTAAAACCAAAAGACCTTCAAAAAAGACTTCAAAAAGATGGGATACCTTCCTCCTCTCTACAGTCAGCCTTGTCCCCATACAGGATGCCTAGTAAAAGGTGGGTAATTTTCTCAAGCAAACTCAGTATGGTGGCCATCACATTTTGGCTCAATGCTGCCCCCTGCAGTGGAAGTGAGGCACGTGGACTCTCCAGAAGGCATCTCTGCAATGCGGAGAGGATACCTGTGGATGATGGGACAAGCCTAAGTGACCAGGTCGGTGATACTACCTTTCGGAATAGCACTCACAGAACCCAAAGTCGTTGCATGAAGATTAGCTGCTGCAGTCTCACCATGAATGGGCCTGGTCCTAGCAGCAAGCAGCATGTCTGTCCGAGCAGTCAGGTAATGGAGTTCCAGCTCCCCAAGCAGGTACTGGACCATAGCCGCCATCTTCACCTCCGGGGGACTTCTGGACCCAGCAGCCAGGTGGTATCCCTCTTGTAACACCACGGAGATGTCCTGGGACCTTCGGAGAGCAGACAGAGAGAAGAAATGGGTACGTCTCAACCACCGTAGATAAACCCCTGCTGTAACTAAGAACATAAGAAATTTACAAACGAGAGGAGGCCATTCGGCCCATCAAGATCGTTTGGGAAGAATTTAACTAATAGCTCAGAGTTGTTAAAATTAGGGGGAGCGCTCCTTACTTTTGAAGGAGGACCTTGGTGAGGAGTGCCCCTGTCTGCGCCTCCTGCACACGTGGGCTGCACAGGAGCACCTGAGCCCTCTCCAACAACGCACGGCTGAGCTCCTCAGGGAGACCCAGGGGGAAGAACTTCAGGATCAACTCAGAGGCCATCTCGCGGATCTACAGAGAATCGCCACGTCAGCTCTGTGATTGGCTGGTGTAACATGCAGAGAAGACACTTATGCCCAGAACAGCTTCAGACAAACAGACCAGTGCCTAGAGCAGGCTGCAGAGCATTCTCCTACAGAGACACACTTGTTTAGTGTTTAGTGTTGCTTACAGGGACTCTAGCTAATTGCTCACTCGCAGTTGGACCTATAGTGTGAGGTATAGAGCAGGGTAGGGATCGGTGCCATTGGCTTTGGATGAACTGAACTGTCAGTGCTGTCACTCTAGCTTCACACCCCCTTGTGGAATTGGAGTGCTGATGTTCAGGGACTCCTCATACCAGTGTTACCACCTCCCCCTTCCTCCTACTTATGTTGCCTTATCTGCTGGAGCTTACATATTGCACTCACCAAACTGTTTGCTCTACCTCTAGTTTCCCCTACAGTCATGGACAAAAGTTTCGGAAGTGACACAAATTTTGTGTTTTGTAAACAATGCTGCCTCAGCATGTTATTTTTTTTATGTGTTTCTATGGTATACTGAAGATTAATTATAAGCATGTTGGAAGGGGTCTTCATCAGAGAAATCAGAGCACCAGTCTTCTGAAGTACAAGCACCGGGCCGCAGAACACTGGTGCAAAGTTATTTTCTCTGATGAAGCCCCCTTCTGAAATCTGCGTATTTCCCAGCATGATGGAGCACAACGTCACAAGGCAGAAGTGATAATGAAGTGGCTCAGAGATCATAACATTGACATTTCGTGGCCAGGAAACTCCCCAGATCTTAATCCCATTGAGAAGCTGTGGTCAATCCTCAAAAAGTAGGTCGACAAGCAGAAGTCAACAAACTGTGATCAACTCCAAACACTAACAAGGCAAGAATGGATCTCCATCAGTCAGGATTTGGCTCAGAAGCTGATATCCAGCATGCCAGAGCGAATTGCAGATGTTATGAAGAAGGAAGGGCCAACACTGTAAATATTGGCTCTTTGCTTAAAATTCAGAGATTAACAAAGCTGAAGCAGCAAAATTTGCAAAATTCAAAATTTGTGCCACTACCACAACTTTTGACCATGACTGTACTTTGGCTAGTGCACGTTTTTACCCTGCCCCCTGGGTGTCCTGCCTACCTTGCTGCCTGCGACACCCCTACTACCTGTGACATCTCTCCTGCCTGCCTTCCTGCCTGTGATTTTGCATTTACACCCAGGGACTTTGTTCATTTGACTTTCTCTACCAGCCCAGGAGGATGGACTCCCCCTTTGAGTCTGGTTCCTCTCTACTAGAGAACTTTTCCTTGCCATTATTGCCTCTGCCTTACTTTCTGGTGGCACTGGGCAGAAATAATGTAAAGTACCGTAATTTCCGGACTATAAGCCTCTACTTTTTTCCACACGCTTTGAACCTCGCGGCTTAAACAACGAAGCGGTTAATTTATGGATTTTTCTTGGGGTTTTCCCGGTTTCACAAGCTTCATGCCGCCAAAAAACTAAGCCCCGTAACATTAAACCAATGAAATTGTCGAACGGGTGAACCAATGAAAGTCTTTACATTAAATCGAGCGCGCTCCCACTGAATCATTCTGATTAAGGTAATCATTTTGTCATGAATGCGCCCTCATCATGGCAAAAACACGGAGAAATGCATATGATGCCGCTTTCAAGTTGAAGGCGATCGATCTGGCTGTTGGAAAAGGAAATAGAGCTGCTGCACGGGAGCTTGGCCTTAATGAGTCGATGATAAGACGTTGGAAACAGCAGCGTGAGGAACTGACTCAGTGCAAAAAGACAACAAAAGCTTTCAGAGGGAAAAAAAGCAGATGGCCCGAACTAGAAAATGAGCTCGAAGACTGGGTCAACGCACAGAGAGCAGACGGCCGAGGTGTTTCAACTGTGCAGATCCGACTGAAAGCCAAAACAATCGCCACCGCAATGATGTTTGAGGATTTTAGAGGTGGACCGTCGTGGTGTCTCAGATTTGAGACATAAAGGCCTGTCCATCAGGGCACGGACGACTCTGTGTCAGCAGCTCCCTCCCGACTACGAGGAAAAAGTTTCAAACTTCCGCAAATTCACTCATGCAAAGATAGCGGAGCATTCTATCGGCCCGCACGACATCATAAATATGGATGAGGTTCCTCTGATGTTTGACCTGCCTCTCACTCGAACTGTCAACAGGAAAGGCGAATCATTTGTCACGCTGAAAACGACAGGGCATGAAAAAACGCACTTCACCTGTGTTCTGAGCTGCACGGCATCGGGAGAAAAGATTCCACCGATGGTAATTTTTAAAAGCACGACGATGCCAAAAGAAAAACCCTCGAGAGAAATTGTTGTGAAAGTCAACAAGAAAGGATGGATAACGGAAAGCCTAATTAATGAATGGCTGACGGAGTGTTATGGCAAGCGACTGGGAGGATTCTTTCACAGGAACAAGGCATTGCTTGTTTTGGACAGCATGAGGGCCCACATAACAGATTCTGTGAAAGAAGCCATCAAGAGGACAAACTCAATTCCAGCTGTGATTCCTGGGGGCATAACAAAGTATTTGCAGCCACCCGACATCAGTGTAAATCGTGCATTTAAGGTGGCGCTCCGTGTTCAGTGGGAGGCTTGGATGACAAATCTTTCACTAAAACGGGCCGCATGCGAAGAGCAACTTATGGTCAAGTCTGCCAGTGGATCCTGACAGCGTGGAGCACTGTCAAAAAATCCACTATAATCAACGGGTTACAAAAGATTGGACTGCTGCGTGTTGAAGAGGGCAGCACGAGCTCAGTGGGGAATTTGCCTCCAGATGAAAATGACGAGAGCGACAATGGAAACGATCCTGAGACAACATCAGATGAAGTAATTCTGAGGCTGTTCGACTACGACACCAGTGCGCAGGAGGAGGAAGACAACGACCAATGATTTTCTTGGTAGGCTACTGTTTTGTTACAAGCCATGTTACAGGCACCGTCTTTCGTTAAAGCCTGTGTAAAATTCATTTGTTTCAATGTAGGCACCTGCGGCTTATATACATGTGCGCCTTATTTATGTTCAAAATAAGTATTTTTTTAAAAATCAGTGGGTGCGACTTATATTTAGGTGCGCTTAATAGCCCGGAAATTACGGTACTTTAAG